TCAACTATTTCACAACCCAAATGAACTCATTTGATGGGTGAGGTTCTGTCTTACTTGCCTTTCCCTCTGGGAAGCTGCATGTTAAAGAATGGTATAGTCATTTCACCACTCCCCCATTCTGAGTAGCCTAATGTTCAGGCATTCCCTCAGCATATGGAATAAAACGCTGACCCAATTAATCTTGAATTCCAGCCAGCATCTTTGACTCCAAGGTGTCTCAACAGCGGGAAAGCCACTAGAAAAACCAATAATATCCTACAGCCTCTTTCCAGACTCACTGGATTGCTTGCGTAGCTCTTTTGCTACATCCACTGACTGAGGGACACTGGGAGGTGTCTTGGCAAGGCCATCCCACTCGCAAGCGCCCGCTGTCAGTCGACTGCATCATGCCATATATATCACAGTGCAGAATCAAACTGGAAACCTCTCAATCAGCGCAGACAGTTCAAGAATAGAGCTAAGCCAATGGAGAGTCTCTCTTGTCAGCTGCTGAGACCCCACAAAGTTTCCTTCAGACTATAAGTGCAGATTATAGGTCAAATCCATCTTATTTCTAATTAAAACAGATGGCAAATTCCATCCCAACAGTGACTTTTCTCTCATATTGATACATCTTCTACTAAACACTCTCTTGCTCTCCCAGCTGATCCACACACATCTATATCCATGTGTATGTGTGGAGATGTATATACTACGCATACACACACACACACAAACACATACTATCACTACTTTGAAATTCATTTTCTTTCTTTATTCAAGGCTTGCTCAAAACAATAAAAGATGACCTTTGGGAGACTGCTGGTACCCAAATCTAATCATTTCTAGATTCTTCTTATTCTGATCCAAGTGTTTATACTTTCCAGAGGCCTGATCCTGTCATTCGGCCTAAGGTGTAGACGGACTGACTTTACCCTATGGTTTTTAAATTGGCAAACAATATAACAACACTGCTCCTTCCCCCCAAGAAACTGGAAAACAAAGGGAAAATAAATCTCCCCGAATGCAGTCCTAATATCACAATGATGACCATTTTTGTTCATTTTCTTCCAGTACAATTTAGTAGACTGTTTTCTTTCACTTAACGTTATTTCATAAGTGTTTTTCTATGATACTAAATAATCACTATAATTATCATTTTAATGGTGCACTGAGTGAGTGTACACCATAATTTACTTAACCGTTTACCTATTGTTAGGCATTTAGTTGCTTCCATTTTTCACTCCTTTAAGCTGGAATGAACATTTTTATATAAGCTATTAATTTAAAGCAGCGTGCAGAGATGACTCTCCATCACTAATCTAAAAATACAGGGTTTATATATTTACAACTCGCATTTGATTATGAAATTTAATTTGAGAGTAATTAAGACATTTATATTCCAAACAGCTCCTCGACATCTAGCTCTCCGTGAGCCAGACAGGCACAACCATGACTCGCCATTTTCACCTCAAGACAGCACAGTCCGATGAATTCTAAAACACAATTTTCTTATGAAAAATAAACTTTATGAACTCCTGCTGCTTTAGAGCTAAGAGATTAACTCCAAGAACCAGAGCGCACGGGCCTCTGAGGTGACCCAGCCAAGGCAAGCCATTGCTGAAAATGCCTTTTTGGTTTTGTGCTCAGTCCAAAACTCAAGGCAGCCCTCACTGAGGCTGTGCCCAGGGCCAGGTGTGTTCCTGGGACCTACCTGGACGTTCTCTGCATAACCTGCACCCAGATACCTCGTGGCCACAGGCCAAAAAAATCGCTCCGACGAGTCCCAGCTGTTTGATGCTTCCTGAAGTTTATCAGGGGTCACTTCAGGTTACAGATTTCCCTGGGCAGGGCAAGCGGTTTAATGCACGGGGTTCAAAAGGATGCAGGGTGCCGCCCACAAGCTGTGTGACTCTGAGCAAATTACAAAAAAGTCTGGTGCCGCAGTTTCTCAATCTGCATCTTGAAGATAGCAGCAGTGCCTCCCCTGTGAGGCTACCATGCGGGTCAAGGAGAAAATGCAGGTGAACTGTGGAGGAGAATGCTGGCACCGGGTTAGGACACAGAAGCATGGAACATGTGGACTGAATGTTGACATCAAACTAACATGTACATTCATTTGCTGAATGAATGGATGAAACAGTAATGAATAAACTGCACTGGAAGGTTCCACTGGTCTTGTGGACTGTCATCTATAGGATGCCCAATTTTCTTTCATGACAAAATCATTTTCTTAATGGAAATCACTAGAAGCCTGATCCCCTGAACAAACAGTAAAGGAACACCCTGGAAACATGCATCCACCTTAATATCAATGTAAGGCTTAATGTCCAGGAAAATCTCATTCTAAAGCTAGAGAAAATATCATCCAGCCATCAAAAGCAACTCATAACTTCATCTGAAGCCAGAGTAAGTCAACTACAGGAATTCCTTACGACTTTTCCTATCAGTGGGATTAGGACAACTCAGTTACTATTACTTAAAGAAAAATTTAGCAACAACAAACTAAATGAGAAAAAAAAATCCTAAGTATTATCATCATTTTTGCTAATGAGAAATGGCTTTTTATATACTTATCAACTCCCTGTAAAATAGAGACCTTAGGAATTTTTTTATTATTATTTTGCCACTGGCAATTAATTCTTCTAATTTGTTTTATTAGTTGGATGGTTGGGTCCAAGACTCAGAATATCTTTCCAAACCAGCAGACTGATGTAGGCATGATTTCAGTGCAGTTCCTGGCAAATCGTGATGATGAATAGCGTGGTAGTACAAACTTATTCAGACACACATTTTTCAGTAGTGGCAGGGAAAAGGCTGAAAAATTACTAGTAAATTGCTTTTTGTAAAAATGCTCTCTCTTTCAAATCTTCCCTAGTATGAAGGTCTTCTGCAGAATGATGGCACAATACATTCTGACATACCTGGACAACAAAGGCAGTTAAAGAACGAATATGAGATAAGAGTGAGGGTTAAGATTTAATTTCCTTATTATACCCCACCGTCTCCCATACTCTCCCAGACACCAGGTCCTTCTGTGTGCGTCCCTTTAACCTGTTGCGATAAGTGTCTCTGAAAGGTATATATTATCTGTCTTTAGCAGGCAGGCTCTGCCCCACCCACTGTCCACTCCAGTCCTCCCAAAACGGAGCCAGGACAGCCACTCCACTGCGACCTGTTGCATTCCTTTTCCCTACTCTCCAAAACTGCCCAGATTTTTGAGTTTCAGATTACAAAGGTCTCCAAATGTCCGGAGCGCCTAGTCAGGCACCAAAAACCAAAGGCTTGTTCTCTGTCTTCTGCAAACTACCCCCGGATGAGACTGTTTCGGGTGAATTCTTTGGTCAGAGGACACACAGAGGCATTGGGGGTGAGCACTTGCTTCACTGCTGGCCCAAAGCAGAGTGGGGTCTTTTCCAGAGTGAAGCTTCAGAGCAGGTGCTCCCCAGACCCACCTGTCCCCGGGAGGTGGACCCTGCCATCTGTCCTTCATCTGTCACTTTGCTTTCTCTCAGGACACACTGTGGCCACCCAAGAGTGAAAGGTCAAATGCAGCTGTTCTCACCTGGGCCGTCGTGGCCCCCCAGTGCCATTTGGCCACACTTCTAGCTGTCACACTGGAGGCTGCCACTTATATCTAGTGGGTGGAAGCGGGGACACTGCTGAACATTCTGCACTGTGCAGGAGAGCCCCACAACAAAGCATCACCCGGCTGACAGTGCCCGGAGGGCCACCGCTGAGGAACCCGCATCTAATCTACAGCGAATCCGGCAGAGCTGATCTTCGTTGTCCTCTGTGTGATGACCAGTTCTTTGTTCAGGGCATAATCGGTCAAATACTTGAACTTCGTCTAAGCCTTTCATTCAGGAACACTAGTGGAGGCCTGCAAAGTGCCAGGGCCTTGCTGGTCTGAGAGGCAGAGGTCAATGTGATGGGGTCCCCAGACTGCAAGGAGGGGCCTTTCATAGGCCTGTGGTCTCAACTCAGTAAGAACTGAGAGTGTGGGGGAAGTGGCCTGCCCCTCTGTTTGTTGGGCCCCTGGGTTATAGAAACAACATGGACTCAGGAGTCAGGTAGATCAGGAGCCGGCTCCTGCCTGTATGTCTTATTTGCTGTGTGATGTTGAACAAGTAACATGACTTCGCTGAACCTCAGTTTCCTCCTTAAAGTGGATGCATAGACCTGAAGGCATCAGGTATAGTCCTCATGTACCAGCGGAGTACCTGGCGGCCCACACACCCGCTGGCTCCTGGAGCAGCAGCCCTGCGTCTTGCCTTTCCTAAGATGTGCTCTAGAAGGTTTCTGTGTTGGGTTCTCAGGCTCCCCAGGGTGGCCCAAACGGTCTGTGACAGCTGGGCTGGGCAGTGCAGCCAGAGCCTGTTCTTGTTCAGTTCTTGCATGCTGGTGTCTGTGACCGTGCCTCTCTGGGACCTCGCTCCAGTGCCAGGGCCCCACACACCCGATTCCTCCCACCTACTGTTTTCTTCTCGAACACAAGGGGAAAAGGCGAACACTGACTCACAAACAACATACTTAACTATATTTTCTTGCTTTAAGCTCAACCCTCAAGAAAGTTCTTCCATGTGCAATAAACAGCTGTGAATCTGCCTAATAAAGTGAAGGCATTTTCCCCCACTGGTGTTCCCCGAGAGCAATCATTGGCCACCTGCATCTTTTTAGTTGCATTTAATAATTCAGCCCAAGATGAATTTGCATGATTAACATAAAGCCTCATGATTTTATTTTCTTTCAGGATTTAAATACTGAAACAACCACCATTGTTTTCATTTTCAGAGGTTGTGATCAAAACACAAAACTTGATTCTAGAATGAATAATTCCTTTTTTTAAAAAAAAAATGTATGTTCAAACACCACTCTCCATAGAATCAAAGAAAAGAACTGCTAACACTGCCTTTGTAAAGGCAGGGAAACCCAGGCTCTTTTTATGGCTGGTGTTAACCCATTACAAGCAAGCCACACCTCAAACATTTCTCCTTTATGGTTTTCCCATAAAATGGTAGGGCCCACTCTCCCATGGCATCCATAACGGCTAACATAAATAAATTTATTTCAGTTCCTCATCTTAGGGCTCTCCACATTTATCTGATCAGGAGCCAGAATCTCCAATAAGTCTTTAAGAGAAAACAGCAATTCTCTTGGATTCCAATAATAGATTAATCGCGTCATCCTCAAAAAATAGTCAAAAGCCAAACCAAATAAGTTGCATTTGGAAACCCATCCGCCCGTGAAGTGGAGACGATGAGGTGTGTGTGTGAACGATAATTTGCGAAGCAGAAGAGGCAGCATCCATGGGTTTCGTGATGAATATAGTAAAGCAGGTTTGTCTAATGGGGAAACATGCATCACTATCAAAAGAAACGAATGTATCCCCACATGGAAAAGCAAGCAGGCTTTAATATCTGAGAAGCATTTCAAGCTGTGCCTGCCAGCAATTCTCCGCCTGTCTGATTTTCCTTAACATTAAAAGCCGACCTCACCTGTTTAAAAATAATTAGGAAGCAGGCAGTAGTAATTCTGGCTAAAAGTTTGTGCCGCCCGTGTTTGTGTGCGTGTTTCTGTTCCACTGACGCCTCTGTTGATGTTTCCGAATGCAGGAATCATGGTCAGTAAGGAAGCCGGCAAATGCGGACTCACGACGTCGGAGAGTGAAGTAGAACCCGCCGCCTGCCTGGCTCTGGAGATGAAATATGCCCTGGACCCCAACCGGCAGATTAAAAAGCGGAATAAAGCCCTGCAGGTGCGCTTTAAGGATATCTGTGAGGCGCAGAACGAGCAGAGGGACGCGCAGCTCCCTGCAGGACAGCTGGGCGAGAAGCGGGAGGCCAAGCCTGTGTCCTGCAGAGCAGCCTATCGCAAATACATGACAGTGCCCGCCCGGAGGTCCATCCCCAACGTCACCAAGAGCACAGGTGTGCAGACCTCGCCAGACCTTAAAAAGTGTTACCAGACCTTCCCTCTGGACCGCAAAAAAGGGACTCTCAAAAGCATCCCGGCTGCGGATGCCTTTAAAAGTCAAGACAATGGGTTTGTAATAGATGCGAAAGAGAAGAGTGAGGAAGGGCCCCGGGAGGAGGCCCGACCGTGGGGTGCGGGCCGGGTTCAGAAGACAGCGGCCTTGGTGTTCCATTCCGATGAACACATGAATGCGCTGGACCCGCCTGCTGGGGTCAACTGTGCAGAGCCGTGCAAAAACCCTGATTTGCACAGCTGCCGAGACACCCCTCTCCCAAATGCCACTCGGCCTCCCTCCCAAGAGCCTGATTACCAGCTGCATGGGAAAGCAAAACATGACAGGGCGACACCAGACGCTGAGGAACCCGCTGCGTCGGCTCATGGGAGGGTGTTTAAAACGGAGGTGGCCACTGTTTATGCACCCGGCCCCAGTGCAAAAGCCCCCGAGCCTGCCTTGTCAAACTCTGCCGCCGCGAGCGAGTGGTCCCTCTGTCCGGTGACCGACCAGGAGCGGAGGAGAGCCACACATCTCAATGGGCTCCAGGCGCCCCCGGGCACGGCTGTGGCCTGCTCGCCTCCAGTGCAGCGTTTGTCCCCCGAATGTAGCGAACAGCCCCCGCAGACTCCAGCCCCGCTGCTGGGGGAGGAGAACCAGCCTTGTCCGACAGCAGTCGCTGTGGGTGAAGAATGCCAACAAATCGTGCCTCATACAGAAGTGGTCGACCTGAAAGCACAGCTTCAGATGATGGAGAACTTGATCAGTTCGAGCCAAGAAACCATCAAAGTGCTCTTGGGGGTCATTCAGGAGTTGGAAAAAGGAGAAGCCCATCGGGAAGGGTATGTATGCTCATCTGTTTCTTATGAAGCTCTGCAGGCTCATCACCCCAGGGGTCCATCTCTAGTCCCCCAAAGCTAGGATTTCTGTGAACAGGCTAGAGTCTGAGGACAGAGAGAGCTCAAAGGGGTCACAGTATCTTATGACACTAGCCGTTGCATCCTCACTTTCAAGATTTACTTGCTGGTTAGCACCCATCTGCCTGGCCTGGAATTCAAACCATACTTAATATTTTGAATGAACTGACTCATCTTTCCTTTTTATCTCCTAGGACTAAAAGTTTATGATTTTGATGAAGTATAATAGATAGGCCAATCCAAACTATCTAATCTAAATAAGAAGCCACTTGCCTTTTAGGAATCATATTATGTAAGAGAAAAGAAAGAATTCAGATAGCATTTTGAAAAGTAGATGCTGACTTGTTTATATTACATCATTGGAATAAGGCTGATATGCAGGACCGTACAGGGGTTTACACAATCGACAAGATGTTTTTCTTTCCTTACGCGGAACTGCCAGCAGCCAGGCCCATCCTGAGACGAGCCCTGTCTGTATACATTTAGGAGAGAGAGGCCTTTCCCGCTGTTGCCCTGTGGGTCCACTTGGGTTGTAAAGGGAATGATCCCAAGTTAACAGCCAATACTGTTCAGCACTGATAACAGATTACTAAACTTGGTTTCCATCTTTTGAACTTGAAATTGTGCAGCAGCAAATTTAAAAACAAATGACCTAAAGCTAGGACATTAGTCTTGAGCCGCTTAGCTAGGAAGCTTCCTTGTGTGGGCCAGGCAGTGTGCTAGGCTGATACAAAACAGCCAGCACTGGGCTGGTTCCCTGCCTCTCGAAACAGTGCCCAAGGCTTGCTGGCCTTTGTTTAGACTGCCAGGCCTTCTCTTTCCCATTCCACCTTGAACTTCTCTGGAGTCCTCCAGCCCACGTTCTGGAGGTTGGATCTGAGGCGTGTTGCTTTGCCTCAAGTGATTAGCACCCTTCGCTGTGGGCCCCTACCCCTGGTTAAGTAAGCTGGCATCCAGCATGTACCTACACCAAGAAATGCATTGTCAGGGCAGCAAACCACCCCATGCACAGTTTCCTCAAGAGGATTGTTGTGGCTGAGTTACACAGTGTTTGTATATTGCCAACAACAGGAGGAAACAACCTCTGCATTCCAGGGCAGGAGTGAGGCTTAAGCCTGGCTCCAGAGGCAAGGTGCCTGGTGCAGGGTCTGCCCTTGGCTTCTGGCTTCTCCAGCTTTGTGCACAAAGCTCCCACAAAGGGAGTTAATTCTCAATACCCCCTGCCTCCTATTTATATAGTATTGTTTGCAATCCACAGTATTAAGCAAAAAGAGTTGCTAACCAATCATAAAATAAACTAATAGGAGATCAGTAGTAACCTAACATTATAGAATGTTTCCAAAAGGCCTTGTTCAGTCTTGGGTTTACATCTCCCATTTTCATCCCATTTCAGTCATTTAGACTTGAACATGTACATATCCAAAAGCAACACACTAAGGTGGGTCTACAAGGAGTTTCTTGATCAGTAGACCACATTCCCAGGGAAAAATTAAAAGCCCAAACAGGAACCCGATCACTGACTTTGATATAGCTGGTAATGACTTAAACCAGACAGCAAAACAGCAAGATACCCACATCACCAGTTGGGAAATAAAGTCCACCAAATGGTGTAAAACCAATGCATTTGCTACTGTGCATTGTGCCCAATAAGAACCTGCAAAGCCTAAACACTCACCAAGACCCGTGAAAGGAGAGCCAGGTGACATATGGAGGCTCCTTCTTACACTCTTAGGACAAGTGTGGAAATGTGTTTTAAATGGGATCCCCTGAGTTCTCTGAGAGTGTACAGTCTAGCAAAGTGGTTTTGTGTTTAGTAAGACATGTCTAGCTGGGAATTCTGGCTTTGAGGACTGGGCAAGGGCTGTACCTCTCTGTGCCTCATTTCTTCACCTGTAAGGTGGAGATGATTGCCCGTCCTGCAAGTGGAGGCAAGGATGATATGGGTGACCTCCTCATCCATTTAGCCAGTGCCAGGTGCATGTGACTGGGCTGCTGCCTGCCAGAGGTGTGAATGTTGGTCTTGCTGGTCAGCATGTCAGGGTCTGGAGAACACTTGGCAGCCCCATGTCTGAGTCCAGCGTAATGAATGTCCCAACCCCCGCAGCACACAGCCTCCACCCAGTGCTGTCCCTGAAAGCCCTGAGCTGCTCTGTCCAATACAGTGAGCACTAGCCATATGTGGGTATTGAAATTCAAACTCAAATTAATTACAATTGAAAATTCAGTTCTTCTGTCGCACTGGCAACATTTCAGGTGCTCAAGAGCCACATGTGGCGACTGGCTGCTGCACAGGGCAGAGAACATTTCCATCATCAACCCAGCATCCCCAAAACATGGCACAGTGCCTGCCTCCTAGCCATTGAGGCCTGAGCACCTTAGATCAAGGCAAAGGATGACATTGCTTTAAAATCAATCCCTGTTGTTGCCTGCACACGACAAGCTCACAATAGAAAGGCAGGTCCTTATCCTGATGAATCCTAAAAACCTTCGTTTTCACCTCTCTCTGAGCCCTCTGGACTCAAAGAATCAAGTGGTTTCAAACGCCAAGGCCACCTTGAAGGTGACCTCTCCTGATCAATGCATAATTTGGCTAAAATTCCAATTTCCACTACTATTTTCCATGTGAGAACACAGGGAAGACAACAGCCTCAGAGGTGGGCAGATAAGAAACAAGCTCATTCTTCATCCCATCCCCAAGTATCTGCGTCCAGTGCAGTCACAGGGAGTGGGGAGAGGTGTGCTGGCACATCCTTAACAACTGGCCCTGGAAGGAGGGGGAGTAACATGTGCTGATTTCAGTGGTGTAAATACTGCTCCCGTGGCCAATTTCAACCAGCTCACAAAATTCTGAAAATTTACCATTCTGCTCCTCTGAGCATCAGACCGATTCCTTGAATGGTATGCTCCACGACCGTGACTTTAGAAGGAAGAGTTTACAGGACTTAATTTATGTACTTGATCTGAGCTGGGAAATAGGGGTTTTAGTAAAATGAGGAACTCACAGGACTTATTTTATGTACTCAAACTAAGCTAGGAAATAGATGTTTTTATTGCCTCTTATGGTAGAAAACAGGAAAACTCACTCTACTTTATGGAGATTGTTGTGTAGTCATTATGTAACATGACAAAGAATTTCATGACCAAGTTAAAATATCAATAGAGTTTTCCTTGGAAAATATTCTAAAGTTGAAAAGTTAGTCAGAGTAGAGAATGCTCAGAAGCTGGGTAAAATCAATTTCTCTCCCCACCCTTCACCCTCAATAAAGCATGGAGGGGCCTGCTTTGTAGAGAATTTTACCTGCATTAAGGGGACTCCTGGTGAGGGAAGGTGTCCGTCTGGTGTGCATCGCGGAGCGCATGACTTTGAATCCCAGTGACAAGTCTTGCCCTCGAATGCACATCACATTGTAGGCTTAAGCCAGGCTGGGTGAGGCCACAGGCCTGCTCTTGTGTATGATGTTAGGACAGAACTAGGAAAGGCAATAATCTTGGAGCTTGGCTAGTGGCCGTGGGCCAAATTATGTTTCCCGAAGCATACTGAATGTATTAACTCTATAATAAGACTTTTTTTCTTCTCACTATTTGCTTATTTGTTTATGCAAACTCACTATTGAGTTTGTGCAAACTGCATGATTAAGTTTGCCAGGCGAGCTCTTTACAGTAGTTCTTACTCTGTGCATAGGAATTTCTGTGTTGCCAACCACGACCACTTTCACTAGCTTCCAAATTATTTTTCCTAAGAGCCTCTTTCATTAATCTCATTTGCTTATGGAGATTTCTGGAAGGCCTCAGCAGAGAAAGGTTCCAGCTTAGGCAAGTTACTTAAGCTCAGGGAGCTTCCATTTCATCTTCTATCAAATAGGGATGGTAGAAGCTCAAAAGATGGTATCTACAAAGCTCCTAGCAATAACCAAGACACACTGGGCACTGAATAAAGGACATTTCCTACTAGGAGCATTTCAGTAAGATGCATTCTGTGAGTAGTTAGACATGTAAAAAGTATTCAAAATCATGCCTTTAGTCCCTTATAAAACGTCTGGGCAATTCACTCAAATGGCTTGCTTTATGCAGGGCAGCAGCATTTGATCACTCTGCTTGCGTGAATGCCAAGAAATTACCCTGCTTATTTCAGAGCTCTCCGGATTGTTGTTCTCTCTTCGCAGGAAGTTCAGGGTCACACAGACTACCTAAATAAGCCACTCATATAGTCGTTGAAGGCTGAGAACCAGGCAAATGAGGCACTGAGTTTCAAAACCCAACCAATTTTTGTCAACAGTCATAATTCCCCAGAGCATCCATGGGTTGCTGGGCAGCAGAGCCTCCGACCCACGGGCTGCAGGGCTGCAGTGCTCACGGTGCGTGCTCACCAGCAACTGTGATGTGGCACCTCCAGGGGAAGATGGCTGTTTGCCACTAAGATGCTGCACCCCACACATTTAGTGTCTTGATGGGTTCATTGGCTGGCGATGGCCTAATGAGACTCTGCTATTCAGAGAAGACCTGAGAACAACATGAGAAGCTTTTTCCGAGCTGTCAAGCACAAGCGCAGGATCTGCCATTGCCCAGAGTGAAGGAGGTTCTTTCATTGGTCAGGTCTCTCAGCATCGGCCGGTATTACCTGCAGGGTTGGGTGTCGGGGAGGAAGGCAGGAGCAGACAACTGGACCTTAAATGTGACCAATAAGTAGAGATGAAATCATGAAGCTCCGGGGGCTCTGTGGCTGCACGGAGACAGACCAAATGGGAGACTACCATTTAAAAGAAGAAAATCCTAAATAACAAACCCACCCAGGAGCCCGGTAGCTTGCAGGAAAGGGCTGTGAATCCAGCGATGCAGTCTCCCATTAGTCCCTGCAACCCCCTCACGGGTCCTGTTCCACCACACTGAGAAAGGGGCATTTCTCCATGGTGTGAGGCCCAGGGCAC